TTGGTGATTTTAACGCTCATCGCATCAAGTGGTTTAATCATTCTAATTTTACAAATGTAGCCGGTAGTCAGACTTTGAATTTTGAATTTTTTTCACTCTCTTACTCAGATAGTGGATTTCCCCACTAGTTTTACTAACAAATCTGATCAACATGCTTTTTACTCGATTTGTTCCATACCTCTTTTCCTAGCTCTTGTCAAACATCATCTCTATCTTCTTGGCAATTCGGATCACGCTGTAGCATTTGTTGATATTTCTTTTGAGTCGTCTGTTGCAAAGGAATCTCTGATTCACAAGACTTTTTCCTACTACAAGTGTACTGATTGGGATTAATTTTGTGACTTTCTTCGAGATGCCTTTTAGATTGATATTCTTAAACTTCCTATTGAGAATTGTGCTACAGAGGTTTTTTTCTTGGTTAAAGCCGGCATTAATGCTTTTGTTCCTTTTCGGAGAAACCACAATCTTCTTAGTGCACTGTGGCCGAATGAATAACTTTTTCCAGGTGTTTTTATGATGATATTGCCAGTCATAAACACATTTGTATCTGCTGGTAATGGTTGTAAACGTATCCTCAAAGAGGTTAAGTTTTGTTTGCTGATAGAATGAGACACCGTACAGCCTCTAACAAGTTTGGCTCTCGTAACTACTGGCGGCTCTATAATAGGGTTTTAAATAAGTGAAAGTCTTCTATTCCTTCTCTCTTCACTCAATTTGAGGTGTTAACATCTACTGATAAAGCAGAATGCTTGCTCGTAAATTCTCTTCAAATTCTACTCTTGACTTATCTGAAATATCTTTGCCTGACTTTCCACTTAGAATTAAGTCCCTGTTGAATGATATGTATATAACATCGTCGATGGTTTGTGCTATTATCTCTAAACTGGATCCCCTAAAAGCATGTGATCTTGATTGTATTCTCACAATAATCATTCAGAAATGTGTTCCTGAACTGACTCTTGATCTCTCTAAACTTTACAATAAGTTTTTTTCTGTTTACCGAGGGTGAAATAATATAAGAAAACCATTGTTAAGAAAGAGAACAAAAAAATAAATAAATAAAAAATAGAACAAGAAATAAGAAGACAAAAGATAGCAATTGTTATTGCATTTAAATTTTTAAAGACCAAACTTAACTGGAAAGCAAGAAGCCTGGAAAAGTGTTCCAAAAGAGAGAAGTAGAGAAAAAGAAATTGTTCGCATAAAAATTACGGTTAAATCTAGCCGTTTAAGTTGCCGCCAATCGAGTACTGTATTTATAGAAAAGGCATATGGAAGTTACATTAATGTGGTGAGAAAGTGACTGAAGATGAGATGCCAGGTCAGGACCAATGACTTAACAATGTTTTTCTTATATTATTTCACACTCAGTAACCCCATCTCTTGCGTGTTTGTGACTTTGTTGCCTTGCTTCGAGTGAAGTGATAAAAATGCGGCGTTTTTCGCTCACTTTATTTTTGTGAGTGTTATCATTTCCCATACTCTGTCCTCAAAATGCCCGTTTTAATGGCATGTCACGGTGACTAATGAGAAAGCGAGTAATCTTTTGGACAAATCACTTCCCCACAATTAATTTACACGCTTAATCAGCCGAAATTCGTTATTCGAGTTGTCCACTAATCGTAACTCTTCAACCTTTTTTTATTTTTTAACTCGTATTCTTATTCAAAAACACCTGGTGACTCATTATTAATATTTCGGTGTCTCGGAGGCGAGAGTGAATATATTCTTACAAAGTTCTTGTGGAATTGTGATAATGTTCATTTTTTTTTTTCAAATACCATATCTATTCTAATCAAGTAAACTAACATAACTTCTTTTTCAGTGCATTTCAGTTTGTGTGCATTTCTAATTGAACAGACATTAAGAAATGCCAGAATTTGCTTTTCTAAGAGACGACATGATTTTCTATCAACAATGCAGGTTCGTCAGTGAGTTTTTCCGAATGATGTACTCGCGTAGGCACCCCGGTGTTTATTATAGCGACCTAATCACTTTGTTTATCCATTAGTAACTAAAAAAAAAAAAAACACGTTAGATAAGTTTAAAAGAAACTAGATTTATTCGTTAAATGATTTTATCAATAATGAAATACATTTTCTGATTCTTTAAAACGAAAATCCATTCATCTATACAACATTTGCTATAAAATGAGCAAAACAACAAAATGCCTGTCGGAGTATCTGAAATCAGTTGCAGGTGATTTAGGGATTATTATTCCTCGTTCAGTTCCATGGAAGAGATTCTTTTATTTGATTTTTGCATTACTCAATTTAAAAATTCGTCAGGGCTTTGGTACCGTTTTTCTTTTGCCTGAAGGGAACAAAAAAGGAGTGAAAATAATGATTTCGAGGAAATTTTGTGGGATTAAAAATCCTTACCAAATCTATTTGCATTCCAAATATGCAAACAAGTTTTAAGTCTCTATCATTTCCTAAATCGGTTAAAATCTGCTTCGACTGACACTAGCATGTTTACATCTCTTTTTAGACTTGCACGCAAAGAAATGTCTGCATAAAGTTAATCAGGGAGTTTAGAAGAAAAAAGTTATGTGATCATAAGTAGATATTTACTTGATACCCCCCTCCACTGAGTCAGGTTGTGACACAAGGTCATTTTTTAACGTGGGCACCCGAATGTTTTCACTCAGGCCGCTGGTCCAAGCTGGTCTTAGCTGGTCATAGCTTGTCCAAGCTGGTCATAGCTGGTCTAAGCTAGTCATAGCTGGCCTTGGCTTGTCCTAGCTGGTCCAGGCTGGAGCCGGTCCAAGCTCGTCGTAGCCGTGATACTACCAGTGCAGGGACGGATCCCTACACCAGGTAAGTATCTATGTAATCATAAGTGTACGTCATAAAGTAACAAAAGATAATCGTTAAACGGATGTGCCGGTAGGTGAAATCAGCGATCCGAGTTCAAATTCTGGGTTAGTTTGTTGCATTCACTTTCGAGCAAATGCTACTAAGAAATGGGCTTGAATTTGTTTCGTCTGTGCGATAATTAACAGGGTAGACGATCTAATCTGATGTGACAACCAGTCGAAGAGAAGGAAAATTCAGAATTCCTAACCGTGGAGAAAGCACTTCACTCTATCTTCCTAGAATTCATGATGATTTACAGATAATAAAGAAAGGGAAAGCGTGGAGAGTCATAAACAACATCGTCCATAAGGGACATTGTATTATTAAAATATTATAAGCAGCGCTGTTCAGACCACCATACTAATTTTAGTTCATTATTTACATTATTTGGGCTATTGTCCTCATCTTTGTCGCCATATTTATTACAACGTTTCGACCGTTGTACGCTCCGGCCTTCTTCAGGTGGTTGGAATGTCGAACTGTACCCTTTATTTCGCTCACTGGGGTAGACTGTTCTAGTTCCACGTTCCATGTTTTTAATGGATGTCAGTTATCAGTTATATACTGTTAATTTCCCTCTGAAAGTTCTCCACTGCCTTAACCGGGTATTGAACTCACACTATTTGGGTCCTGTTATTGGATCTAACGGATGCCTTTATCCACTGTGCCATGTGTCCTTGAGGGTTCAGTTCGACATTTCAACCACCTGAAGAAGGCCGGAGCGTACAACGGTCGAAACGTTGTAATAAATATGGCGACAATGAGGACGACAATAGTTCGAATAATGTCAATAATGTACATAATACCTCATCTCAGAAATATAGACAGATACTCATTTTAGTTGTTGTAAACTTCGGCCTTCTTCAAGGGTCGACCTTCGTACTCGATAACCTTGGAATTTCGAATTACTTTTTTCTATCCATAGGGGGTAGATTTTTGATATTTAGTGGATATTTCATATTTTTTTTCACTCCAATCAAGGCGAAAACGCCACTAAGACGCAAGAATGTTACAGGGAGTGAAAATGAATGAGAATAAGATTGAAAATGGGGGGGGGTGAGAAAAAGGCAAAAAACGAACAGCCTTCAAAAAGACAGAAGATGGCGATTGACATTGCATTTACATTTTTGAAGATTGTATTTATCAGGGAAGCAAGACATCGGGAGTTCCACAGGTGGGAAGTGCCAGAAAAGAAACTTTTAGAGTAGAAATGACTGTCGCATCTATAGCTAGTTGAACAGTAAAACGGCGAGAACTTGTAGCACGTATAAATTAATGTAGTCGAGGCACCAGGGAAAAAAAAACCCTCATCCGTGCAGTTGCCATGAAAGTATTTGTAGAACAGACACAGGGAAGCCACGTCATGTCGTTTAGAAAGTGGATTGGAGACGAGATACATGGTCAGGATCAATTGTATTGCAGACCGTTCTCTTGATTTTGTCAAGAATCTCGAGATGCATAGTAGGAGCACGTGACCAGATATGACGACAGGATTCAATACACAGACGAATTTATAGCTGTAGATTTCTAAATGTGTAAGATGGATTCTAACGTGAAAAATCTTTTGGCACGACACAGTGAACCAGCCTTCCTTGCAGCAGATTTAGCAGTTGACTCGATATAGCCACTCTACTTCATGTGAGTGGAAAACTTGAGGCCAAGACGACGTTGAATTTTGCTCTACTGGAGTTCAGCATCATCCATCCTGATTTTAGGTGGAAAAGATTTTTTACTAGTTTTATTTTAAGAGACAAATGGCCTAGAGCATTAAAGCATGTGTTAAAACATATCTGGCTCCACGGTAGTGGAGAGTTCAGTTTCTAAGTTTGGTAGTATTGAAAACTCATGTTCTGTTTCAGTGAAAGATACCAACAAGCGACTAAAGTTCCACATTCCGAGAAGCAACATGTATTAAAACATTGTGTTTTATAGCGCATCTCTTTTTTTTTACCCAGATTAAAGTTATCTTCAATTTATGCCAGAGTAGCCCTTCTGTTGGCTTGTACATGGCGGATAAGCTTTTAAACATTTCGTGCCGATAAGTTTTTTCTCGGAAATTCACGGTATTTCTTTCCTGGTACCACTGTCAATATATTGTCAACACAACTGAACGTGGGCAAAACATTTTCTTTTGTAACATTTATGGACAAACTTTACGTGCATTCGGATAACGCCAGATCTATCTATCTATCTATCTATCTATCTATCTATCTATCTATCTATCTATCTAATGTTCCCAAACTTTATTACAAATGTCTTTGGAATTTATTTATGTTTTTGCGTTCCAAAATCCATTTTTGTACAGATTTATATTGTTCAAAGTAAAATAAACTTATATAAACACACAATTAATTTTGAGATAAAGTATTAAAATTTCCATTTTTATCAACCTTTCTTTCCATCTTATTGTTGCTTTCTTGGTCAAATGCCCATATTTCTGGAGCTCATCTTTTGTGGACGACGCCTTAAACAATTCGGGAACGTGATTGTAGATTTGTGCCTTGACTAGACATAGACTTCCGTTAAGAGTTCCTCAATGAAAGACGAGTCTCCAAAATAATAGGTGTGAGTTCAAGTCTCGTTGGAAATTACTTTTTTTGCTTCATCATGCTTACTTTAAAAAATATAAATAAGTGAGCACTGCCATTGATTTTTCAAAACGTAACTTACTTGCTTATAAATTTGTTTAAATGTTAAATCGATACTGTTTAATATAATTTAAAATCGAATACCGTCTTTTAATCTAAAGTTTCGTCAGAAACAAATTATTTAAATCTCTGTAAAAGATTTAAATTATTAATCAATAAATTTCTATTCATAACGTTTCGTATTATCGTATAAGTGATGACGGCTCTGGGTTCATTTCATGTTGACGGTTAATTCGCGTCAAAGTTATTTCAAAACGAGGCTGCGAACATAAACCATAGACACGGACGGCACTATAAAATTTCTATGCTAATGCAAGCAAAATCTCCAAGAAAGCCATTGATAATCCAAACATTAATCCCAGGCTATGTGGTCGCTTTCACGAAGCAATGAAAAGATAAATAATTTCCTCAAATTGTATTTCTGACTCAACTGCAGGATTTATCGAAGAAATGATAGTCGAGATTTTAGAATCAACTAAAGGCAAATCGGAAGAAAGAAATAAGCTTAAGTTGATGGCTGTCTCGTATTGTTCAGACTATGGGATTTTGTTGCCATGGCGATCAAATTCCTACAGCAAGAAATGGTTGCGTGTGAATAGGTTAGCTTGAGATACGAGATACGTCTGCTGAATGAGTTTGGTTAGATGTATTATTTTTTTTGGAGGCAGAACCAAGTGAATTGAGTTAACAGACAGTGGCAAAGTAATTATTGTCTTAAATGGAATAAAATAATGGGAAAACCTGTAAGAAAATGATTAAAAAAAAGAGTGTGACTGATTCTATGAAATATTTATAGTTTTTTCTTGCGGACTATTGTCCTCGTCTTTGTTGTTGTTATTACAGCATTGCGGCCGTTGTTCTCTCCGGGCTTCATTCAATATATGTCGATTTTGTTAACCTACTTGTAATTCCGATCTGAACCCTTTATTTAATCTACGGGGATAGACTGTATTCAGTGTAAAGAGATACCTCGACTAGTTTTTATTTTAGTATTGTTCAGTTATTTCTTGCCCCGTTTTCAATGACTAGCCCAGGGATTGAACTCAAAATTACTATGTCACGAAATTGACAAACCAACAGTGGGTGTGCGGATGGTGCAATTATGCTGGTCATAATGAGAAATCAGAGAGTCAAGTTAGAATTCCAGCCACGTTCGTTACATTCACTCACAAAAATACACATGGAAAAGGTATGAATCCATCTCCTCTCCCAGCTATGGGTTAAAAAGTCAGACTTGTATGTGGAAAAATCATTGTTATTCTCAAAAAATTGTTAATGCAATATTCACTTTAAAAATAATTTTTTCTTACATTCCGAAATAGGTCCAGTTTTAAATATCCCGCAAAGGGTTGATAAGCCGTGAAAAAATTAAAAAATCACGAATGAAGGCTTTGACACACTATTATCCCACGAATTATTAATCTTAGAAATTCAAACGAAAATGAATGACATATTTCGTTAATAAACTAGGAAGAAATTGCAGTTATTTGTAGTTTTATCGTAGCATAGTACCCGTAAAAAATGAAGGAGTTATTAACGTATAAGATCAGAGTAGTATCTGTGCACATTGCCGAGGATCAAAATGTCGCTTCTTGGTACTTCTCCCTATGATCAGTGCAAAAGAGTGGCGGAAAAAGGAAAGATGGTGTGTGTGCGAGGGGCGGAGAGGGTAAGTAAGAAAGTTCGAGAAATGCAAAAAGAAAACCAGATGAAAAGAAGGAGGAATAGATGGAGAAAGATAATTGAAGGCTGTCTTCAGTTTTATTACTCCTTTATCCCTTTCATCTGTTAAGGTAGCTCAAGATTTTTTATTTTTTATTTTATTTATAATGATATGCACTTGACGTGGGGGTGTAGGTAAATTATAACGTATTTATCTATCTGCGTATTATACTTTTATTTACACACACACACACACACACACACACACACACACACACACACACATATATATATATATATATATATATATATATATATATATATATATATATATTCCAGCTTGATAATTTTTTGAAAATGGTTGTAATTCGTTTAATAAGGGAGTTTCTTATTAACTTAGGGGTTAAATTACTTTTGCGCAATACAGCATATTTACGCGGTGATTAAAGAATAATTACCTGTTTTATGTATGATGTACTCTTCCGTCTAAATATAATTTTTACCAGACACGAGAGTCCATCAGACATAAAATAGAGAGTTACTTTACAATTTCCACACACACACACACACACACACACACACACACACACACACATATATATATATATATATATATATATATATATATATATATATAATAAGAAAGGACAGTAAGATTTACAATCCATTCTTCTTTTTATTTTTTAAAAAACAGTGCTCGACACAAAACAGTAGAGCAAAATATTATAATTATTTTCTGTCTAAAATATGATTCCCTCACGACACAAAAAATTTCCATATTTCAAAACTAAAACTAAATTTATAAATTTAACTATAAAAATTAAACTTAAAATCCATAGTCTCGTTCCATTGTCAAGCGATGTTAAGTTTAGGTGCTAACAAAAGTATATTTCCGTTATCCAGTAAGTTGTCTGGGTTTGAAATAATAAAAAATTTCGAAATTTTTATTTATCCGATTAATTCATATTTTTATATACATAAAGACATTCTAAAAGTGTCATTTTAATATGTGCAAGACGTATTACTAATACTTAACTTTTATTAATTATATTTTATTCTTATAGATGACTCACAGAATAACTGAAGTATACATTTTTTAGCAGACACCCCAACCCCACCTAAACTTTGTAAGTAACATATATTGGATACATAAGCTGTCTAGGGAAATTAAAACCTATCCACCCCTAAATTAAAATAGATTTTCCTTAAACGTAACAACTCATAATATCAATATTGTCTGCACTTATAAATTAAGTAGGCCCAGATTAACATTTAAGATTGAAAATAAGGTTGGAAATAAGGCTTATAAATTCTAATTTGAAAACAGACGTTGTTGTTATGGAAAAACGTTTCGAAAATCAATCAACATTTTTAATGAAAATCAATAAAGAAATTAATAATATTATTAATATTGATATCAATAAACTTAATAAAAGTAGTGATATTAATAATAATAAAATACGCAGTGAAAAATAAAATTGAAATTAATGAAATGAATTATTACACTAATAAAAATAATACATATCAATGAAAAAAATAAATATGAATAAGTAAATAAATAAATAACGGTAACTAACTAATTAACTAACTAAATAAATGAATAAATATATCAAAGATGCTTCTGATAGTAAGACTAAAGATAAAGTAAAAGTAAGATAAAAACAATGATAATGGCTATATACTAAAAAAATGTAATGTCAATAAGATAATGAAAATGATGAAAATAAGAGTTTAGCAAAAATGTGTTAAATACATTTCAGTCTAATAATGACAATCGTTGCATAGCAACGGTAGTAAGAATAATATAGTAAAATATAATAAACTTATCAATAAAAATAAATAATGTCAATACTAGTATTTGTGGTTTGGCTAGACTATATTAATTTGGATCAACGTGCCTGATTAGAAATTTGGTTCTACGTAGGTAAGTGCTCATTAACTCACTTTTTGTTTAAGAGATTCGGATTGTTAATCTTTTTCGGAATTATATTTTTTCAGATAACATTATAAGGTATTATTAATATTTTTTACTATATATTAAATAGCTTTGTTATTTAACATTGAGCACTATTTTTTCTTACACTATAGAGTATTTATATGTATTTCTATACGATCGCTCGCTCGCACATTTACCTACAGTGCTACGCAAAAGTTTATAAAACATTATAAAAATGTTTCTTTCGGTATTTCTAACACAGATTAATGAAGCATTTACTGCTAATAATACATATATTTAGGCCTTTAGTCAAACAATCAGATTTTAAAAAATAATCAATAAAAATGTCTCACGATGACAAACCAATACTTAATAATGCAAAAGTTTACAATACATTTATTAAATCATCTATTAATATTTGGTAGCGTAACCGTTATTACTAATTCCAGCATGTAGGCAATTAGGTTAGTCCCCTAGGAATTTCTTGAATGTTTCTTGGCTAATATTTTTCTATTCTTTGCAACAAAATTCCTTTAGTTCATGCAGGGTTTGCAGGTTTCTTCTTTGAATTCTCAGCTTCAGCTAAATCCATAAATTTTCAATCGAATTGACATCTGGAGATTGACTTGACCATTTTAGAAATTCTATTCTATTTGAACTTAATCATAATTTTGTAATCTTTGCAGTCTGTTTAGAATTGTTGTCTTGTTGAAAGACCCGACCTGGTTTCAAGTCCTGGCGTAAATTTATCTCCAAAATATCCCTATAACATGCTCCATTCATCCTCTCTTCTAGTATTTCAATGTTTCTTACACCTTGGGCAGTAAAGCAACCCCAGATCATAATTGATCCGCCTCAGATTTTATTGTTGGGATAGTATTCTTCGGCGAATATTCAGTACTCTTCTTTTTCCAGACCTTTGCTACAGTATTTCTACCAAAAAGTACAATTTTCGTTTCGTATGACCAAAGTACATTTTCCTAAAG